CATTCATTTGTTGTGCAACCAATATCTCCAGCACTCTTCATTTTGCAAAATGAAAGCTCTGTACCCATTATACAACTCCCACCCCCCCTCTTGTCCTTGGCAACCACCATTATATTTTCTGACTCTATAAATTTGACTGCTCTAGGTACCTCATACAAGTGGAATCAGATAGTATTTGTCTTTTTGTGATTGGCTTGTTTCACTCAGCATAATGTCAACAGGATTTATCCATGTTGTAGAACGTGTCAGAATTTCCTTTCCTTTTAAAGATGGTTGATATTGCTTTGTATATGGATATATACACCACATTTTGTTTATCCATTCACTCATTGAAGGACACTTGGATTCTTTCCACCATTTGTCTATTGTGAAAAATGCTGTTATGAACACGGGTGTTACAAGTATCTCTTTGAGAACCTGCCTTCAACTCTTTTGAGTATACACTCAGAATTGCTGTGTCATGTGGTAATTCTATTTTTAATTTTTTGAGGAACTACCATACTAATTTCCATAGCAGCTGTACCATTTTACATTCCCACCAGCAGTGCATTAAGGTTCCAAATTTTCCACATCCTTGCCAACTTGTTATTTTCTGCTTTTTAAAAAAATAAGATCCATTCTGGTGGGTGTGAGGCTACACACAATGTACCTAGGAATCTAAATTAACCACTCAAAGATTGTATGGTAAGTGTGGAGGCAGAACAAAGAGAGACCTTGATTATATATCGTTCTCTCAAGCTATGGTGAAACATCCTCCATATTAGAGTCTTTTCCTGCCTGACACAATTTTCTCCCTTGGATAAGGTTCAAGAAACATTCCCATATTCATGCACTTTGATCCCATGAAGTCTCTTCAATGATCACATTCGATATTCCAGAGATTCCTAGTTTGGAGCCACTTGGCAAGCACCAGAGTCCATGAAACCCTGGATCTGTATAGAAAAGATGAGTAATTATCAGCATAGTGAGGATATGCATTGTAACAGACACACTCCAAATTACCAGCTGCTTAACACAAGAATGATTTATTTCTTGTTCCTACAAAGTCCAATGAGTGTCCAACCGGTCAGCAGGGATCCAAGCTCCTTCCATCCCAGGGCTCCACCATCCCCTAGGGCATCAGAGTACTCTGTGGATTTTTTGCTTTTAGCTGATAGACAAGGATCAAGAGAGCCTGGAGGGTCTTGGAGGAGAGTTTTTTGGCCAGGACTCACATGATCCTTAACTGCAAGGGAGTCTGGGAAATGTAGTTTAGCAGTGGGTTTGGGAGGGAAACAAAGCTGGTTTTCGTAAACACGCAACGGTCTCTACCACAAGAGCATACGAGCATTTTCCTAGAAAGAAGGGTCGGGTTCTCAAAAGAACTGACAAGTCCCTAGAAGGTTAAGAACGCACAGTTTATTCAGACAGTGTACTTGAGTGTCAGCTTTTCTAGTTATTGTCTCATTTTGGTCCTGCCTTCCTGAGACCCTACCCCCGTTCCTGCGCTGAAACTTGGTATCCCCAAGTCCCCCGTGCACATATTTACAGACTCATTTATTCAGTACACATTTACTGAGTGATTCCTCAGTGCCAGGCTCTGTGCTATGGGCCAGAAACATAGCAATAAATAAAACTCATGCCCTCCACTCAGAGAGCTCACAGTGAATGGAAGTGATAGATACATAAACAGATCATATTATTTTAAAAGTTGGTAAGTACATTTATAAAGATTGGATCAGAGTATTATAAGGATGAGGAAGAGTATTCATCCGGGCTGAACCAAGTCTTAATGAATGAGTAGCAGGGAGGAGAGTCATTGTGGAGAGGATTGAAGGGCATGAGAAGAACTCTAAAGACAAAGAACTCTTTGTAAGGTCAAGAAAATGTTAATCTGGAGTGAGAGCAGAGAGGTCAGCAGGGCTCCGTTATGGAAGACTTTAACCCAGTTAAGAAGATCAGACCATCTGCTGGATTACTTTACAGATGGCTAAGAGTATGTATTATGTGTTGATTTTTACTAACAACTCCCAAGGATAAACCTAATTCTACGTACAGGGGGTACCTGCCTGCCCTCCCTGCTGCCACCAGCTCCCCGTGTGCACAGCAGTGCTCCTGGCTGGGGAAAATCACCGGTGATGACCATAGCTAACTTTGGTTGGGTAGCAGTCATGCTCCAGCTACCCTTCTAAGAACCTTCTAGATATTAACTGGTTTAAACTTTACCAAGCTAAGACCAAAACAGTTCTGAGACCCAGAGGTGGAAGATTCAATTTACTTAAGGATTCCTAATTGCATCAACCCATTGGTGAGTCTCAAAAATGGAGGTCTGCCGTTTCTACTCTCTCCCAACCCATCTCTCATCCCTATCATGGCCTCTAATCAGGGTAAGGATCTGATCCAGAGCAACAATGGGGCTACTAGGTTATAGATCTTGAAGAGAGAGACCGTGTCTTGCCCATCTGTATTAGTAATGGACTAACTGCTGTAATAAACAATTCCCAAATGTCAGTGGATTAACTCAACAGAGGTTCACGTTGAACTTGTCTAAACTTCAGTGTGGGTGTTTGGCGGGCCGCCTCTTTTGTTGTGATTCAGAGACACAGGATCCTTCCGTTTTGTGGCTCCACCATCCCCTAGGGCCTCAGCATTCTCGGCAGGGTCCTCTTTATCAGAGTTTCTCAACGTTGGCACTGTTGACATTTGGGATGACTCTTTGCTCTGAACTCCTGTTTTGTGCATGGTAAGATGTTTAGCAATATCCCTGCCCTTTACCCAGTAGATATCAGTAGCACAGCTATCAGTTCCTCCCTCTACCTCTTGTAACAACCAAAACTGTCTCCAAACATTGTCTAATTGTCTAATACCCTCTGGGGGGGGTCATAATTGCCCCTTCTCCATTGGGAACCACTATTCTATACCCAGTTGGCAGACAGAGGAACAAAGGAGTATGGAGGGCTGCTTGGGACTTGTGTTTTTTATGAGCCAGGAAATGATAACATCATTTTCACCCACATTCTATGAATCATAATTTAGTCCATGGCCCCACCTGACTAAAAGAGAGGCTGAAAAATGGATTCTAGCTATTAGCTCAGAAAGAAAAGGATGCTGGGTTTGGGTAGTACATGGAAGCTTTGCCTCACCATCTTTGTAACACGAGCTAACACACATGCACACACATGCAGGAAGACAGGCACGTACATACATGCACACATGTGCACGCACATGTATGCGTGCACACAACCTGTCAGAGTATCTTACACATAGTACTCCATCATTATATCTTTGAGGGAGGGAGGGAGGAAGGAGGAAACGCGGCAAGGGGAAGGCAAGGAGGGAAGCTGTAATCCTGAACTAGCAGATGAAAAGTCCAAGTCCTCCTTCTGGTTCTGCTCCAAGAAAAGGTATTAACTTTAAATCATTCCTTATCTTATAGGGGTCTTCATTTCCTTCTCCACGAAGTGAATAATTTGGGCTAGAACCGCACTTCTTAAGATGTGTTTCAGGGACCATTAGTCTCTAGCACTATTGAGTATTGGGGAAAAAAAAAAGAATATCTCAATATACTCTATGCCACTCCTGTTAATACAGTCCTCAATTGCATATGGACCCTTCTGATGAATCCCTCATTAAAAAAACTTGTTTAACTCTATTTCACATGGTGTTTCCCAAACGTATTTTATTCTGTCAGTTATTTCTTGAACATCCGCTATGAGTAAGTCACTATTCTAGGTTCTGAGGATAGGTGGTGTAAAAGATCAAGCCCCTGTCCTCATACAGAAGAATAGAAAGGTCAAGGGTTGTGTTTCCTAAACTTCTAAGTGTCACCCCCTCCATCCTTGCCACATCGGCATGCCACCAGAAATATCCCGTACTCAACATTTTTCTTCAAATGTGCTCACTTCAATACATTTATTTTTTCAATTTAGTTATTTTTGGCTGTGCTGGGTCTTCGTTGCTGTGTGAGGGCTTTCTCTAGTTGTGGTGAGCGGGGGCTGCTCTGTAGTTGTGGTGCGCGGGCTTCTCATTGTCGTGGCTTCTCTTATTGCGGAGCGTGGGCTCTAGGTGCATGGGCTTCGGTAGTTGTGGCACGTGGACTCAGTAGTTGTGGCTCATAGGCTCTAGAGCACAGGCTCAGTAGTTGTGGTGCAAGGGCTTAGTTGCTCCGCGGCATGTGGGATCTTCCCGGGCGGGGCACGAACCCGTGTCCCCTGCATCGGCAGGCAGACTCTCAAACACTGCACCACCAGGGAAGCCCTGACATTTTTTTTAAATGCTGGAAAAGAGGTCCCCAGGGAATTCCTTGGCGGTCCAGTGGTTAGGACTCTGCGTTTCCACTGCAGGGGACATGGGTTCAATCCCTGGTCGGGGAAGTAAGATCCCACAATCCGCCTGGTGCGGCCATAAAAAAAAGAATTAAAAAAAAAGTCCCCAAACATGCTTAAGACATATAAATGGGGGCAAAATTCTGCCAAAAGTACATATACAGACACAGTCAGGGCCGAGAGATAGTTAATTCCATATTACTGTTTTGAACAAAGTAAAGAATGCAACCCCTGCTTTTTTTTTTAAATAAATTTATTTATTTATTTATCTTTGGCTGCATTGGGTCTTTGTTGCAGTGCGCGGGCTTCTCATGTTGCAGAGCACGGGCTCTAGGTGTGCGGGCTCAGTAGTTGTGGCACACGGGCTCGGTAGTTGTGGTTCGCGGGATCTAGAGCGCAGGTTCAGTAGTTGTGGCGCAAGGGCTCAGTTGCTGCGCGGCATGTGGGATCTTCCCGGACCAGGGCTCGAACCAGTGTCCCCTGCGTTGGCAGGTGGATTCTTAACCACTGCGCCACCGGGGAAGCCCTGGTTCCACTTGTTTAAATTTAAATTAAAATTTTAGAAAAGGAGGCTATTAAACCAGGTGACCCATTCTCTACGTCTACTTAATGGACTTCAAAAGTGAGAAAAACTCAGAGGAAGGTGTCAAATGAACTCTTTATTTGGAGGACCTTTGAGTTACTGAAGTGTCCTGCTAGCAGGCAGAGGTAAGGAGGAATATATCTTTCCAGTTTCCCAGCACAGATCAGGGTCAGGAGGTGAGGGATGGAATCTAACAGAGGGAACCTCCCTGAGCAGCCCAGGGCAGAGCCACACAGAGGCAGGGGGCATCCAGGAATGGCTTTGCAGGACCGGCTGAGCCGAGGATTTGGAAGAACCCATCCTCTCTCTCTGCATGATGTCATTTCCAGGGGGATTAATTCCCTGGGGGATCAGCTTGCTCTAAACCTTGATAATCCAGATTTGTGATTTAATTCAGTGGCCCGAGTATCTGACACAAGGAGAAGGAAGTAGGAGGCTAGAGAGATAAAAACAGACTGTGCTTCCAAGAAATCAAGGAGGGGTGTGTGGGGGGGCGGTAATCTCACTTGGATGCCTCTTTAATTAACCAGTTCCATGCCCAGTCTTATCAAGAACGCTGTTTCTAGCCTCATGATTGACATGCCTCCTTCTACTGAGAGAAAGAAACTGAGGAGATTTGAAGCAGTTGAAGCAAGAAGGGGGAATGGTAGACTCTGTGCTGAACTCTTTGAGTCTAACAGGGGAAAAGACGACTTTAACCCAGAGGAACTGCGGGAAGAGACTCTGGCAGGTTATAGGGATTTAGGATCACTGTGAAGTCCAAAGATGTCATTAGTCTTTGGAATCTGGGGAGCGGCAGCTAGACTGTTCCGTTCACATTTCCACACGCAGACTCTTCCTTCTTAAACCAGCTCCAGAGATGTAACTCCTACCCCATCTAACCCCTACGACAGTCTAACCTCAATCCATAGCGCTGCAATGCCAGTCTCCCACCCTCTCTCCTTTGAGGGCCCATGGGGATGTGGTCCTCCACTAGGGCTTGATCCATGTTGACCAGGTGGAGAGTGACGTGGGATTCCAGAACCTCCTCAACGAGACAACATCTTCACAAACTCTGCAAAACCAAAATTTCTGGTGAGGCACCTCTTTGTTGGTTTTTTTTTTTTTTCTTCATTTGCTTTTTAAAATAATTTTTTTATTGGAGTAGAGTTGATTTACAATGTTGTGTTAGTTTCAGGTGTACAGCAAAGTGATTCAGTTATACATATAGATATATTCTTTCTTTTTCAGATTGTTTTCCCTTTAGATTACTACAGAGCACTGAGTAGAGTTCCCTGTGCTATTGCAGTAGGTCCTTGTTGTTTATCTCTTTTATATATAGTAGTGTGTGTGTATGTTAATCCCAAGCTCCTAATTTATCCCTCCCCCCTCAGTGAGGTACCTATTTGTAAGAGTATCTGCCATTATTTTTTCCAGCCTTTACTATGTGTCAGGAACCACTGGTGATCTTTGGGAAATTAATAACTTGACCCCTCTATGCCTTGATTTCTTCATCTACAAAATGGGAATCATAGGGTTGCTATTTACCTTCTATGATTTTTAAGATGGTTAAACAATAGAATGCTTAGAAGACACAGTCGGTGTTCAATAAATAGTCATTATGAGTCTCTGATTTCAACTTTTCAACCGATCTTGGAGGGGTAAGTAACGTTTTACAGGTAAGCAAACTGAGGCTGGTGAGGTTGACCAACATGGCTGAGATCACGTGGATGGTGAATGGAGAACCCTGGAATGAGCCCATGACTTTGCTAGGACTCCAAGTCAGGTGGACTTATTGGTCCCACCCAGGTCTCGAGGCCCCTCTGTCCTTCCCTTGCCTGTGATTGGCCTGAGGAACTATTTCCTCAAACCATTGTACCTCTCCCAGATTTTCATTGATGCCTACTCTGCACCTGAGCCTGGCTAGATCCAGCAGGCATCCAGCAAACATTTGCTATGTCGCAGCCATGCAACAAACGTCTACTAAGTTTCTATGCTGGGAATTTCACAGCAGAGATGGGTTAGAGAAGTTCCCTCTGCCCCACAGAAATTCACAACCCAGGAGGCAAATGTAACTCAAGGTCTGCAGTCATAACTTCCTTTGGAGAGGAAGAGAAAAATCCCTGTAAGTCTTCACAGCTGGGACTACTACACCACATAAGGATGAAGGGAAGCATCTTACCAGAGGTTGCACTGGCACGAACTCCTGAGAGATGGATAGGATTTGAAAATGCATTGATAACACGGGAAAGGTGTGGTAAGTGGAAGGAACATCAGGGAGAAAGGAACAGAAGTTGGAGAACACAGAGCAGTACCAAGTGTACACCAGAGCATAAAAATTCAGAGTGGTTGTAGAAGATAGAGGCTGGGTGGGTGGGTAACTGGGGCAGCATCATGGATGCACTTGAATATCAGACTAAGAATTTGAACCAGAGAATGTCACGATGAGCACGTGACGTGCCCTATTGATGTCTCCCACAAAAATGATCCCCCCTCCCATCCGCTCAAGACTCCAATATTTCTCATTTATCCAATCACTCAAAACACATGTGCTGAGCTCTCTGCTAGGAAGTGGGGTATAATGATGAAAGATTTAGTCTGTGGCCTCAGAAGGAAACAGGCAATCAACGATTGGAAGCTATTGTGATGTCATGTGCCAGTATCACTGCAGAGGCATGCGTGGGTGTTACGGGGGCACCGAGGGATCCCGAGCCTGGAAAGAAAGATGGGGCCCCAACCAGGGGCATAACTAAGACTTAGCCAGAGGAAAGAGGAAAGGGTTTTACAGACAGGACATGAGCAATGACAGCAAGGGGTCCTTAGCGCATGATTTCTTTTAGTTTTTCTCTAAAATTGGGAAGAAAGGTATCATCTTTACTCCCGTTTTGCAGATGTGAAAACTGACACTACAAGAGAGGAAGTGACTAGGATAAGGCCACATAGTTAGTAAGAGGTGATCCTGAATTTGAAACCCATGAATCTGACTCCAGCATCCCAGCGGCTAACTAATCCACTCTCCCTCTGATGGGACATTTTTTTCCTATGATAAAGGCATCCAGGGAACAAAGAAGGGATGGGAGAGGTGGAGTAGGAATGGGCTTCTGGACAGGGTGTTCCAAGGAGTGGCCAAGACAGAAACAAGGAGAGGTGAGAGGCACTGAGCTCTTGGAAATGACATGGGCAGAAAGGGATGAAACAAACACCTCCAGAATCTAACCCCCCTCCTCCAACCTCAAACTGGGGGAAGAGTGAGAAGGAATGGCCGACTTGCAAAAAAATCACACTGGGGAGATGGAGGTGGCTGCCCCTACACAACATCACCTTCAAAGTCGACGGTGCCATCTCCGTTAATGTCGGCTTCCTGGACAACCTCGGAGATCTCCTGGGGAGTGAGCTTGTCTCCCAGGAGCCTCTGCATGGCCTGCTGCAGCTCCCCCAGGGTGATCTCCCCGTCTCCGTTGGCATCAAACTGAATTGGAGCACAGGGGATAATATTAGCAACAATGACCACAATAATAATAATAATAGCACTGTTTATTAATCACTTACTGTGAGTCAAGAACTCAGCTAAAGATAACCAACAAGGACCTACTGCATAGCACAGGGAGCTATACTCAGTATCTTGTAATGACCTATAATGGAAGGGAATGAAAAAAAAAGAATATATACATTTATATATATATATAACTGAATCACTTTACTGAATACCTGAAACTAACACGACATTGTAAATCATTGTAAATTTCACCGCTGTGGCCCTGGGTCCAATCCCGGTTGGGGAACTACAATCCCACAAGCCACGTGGTGTGGCCAAAACAAACAAACAAAACTCAGCTGAGAGCTTTTGCAGGTTATCCTCTAAAAGCTCCTTGAAGGCAGGTTCAAGGAGTCTCGTTCCTTGCTCCATGCTTAGCCCTCTCTATGCTGCACACCTTTAACTAATCCACTAGAAAGTCTTAGAACATAAGTTCTATGTCCAAACGTATCTGGGAGCCAACTGCCCTTCTCCAGCTACATCGATGCTAACTAACCTGGTTCAAACCACGATCACCTTGTGCCTGATTATGGCGACAGCCTCCTACTTGGTCTTCCAGCTCCCACTGTGGTCCTACATAATCTGTCCTCCACACGTTGGGACTTGGCATTCGTGTTCATTTAAAACACCAATCAGATCTTGTCCCTCCCTGGCTTAAGTCCTCCAGTGGCTTCCTATCCCACTCAGAAGAAAATCCTGACACCGCTCCGTGACACGCAAACTCCTATGGGATGGGGTCCTGCCTTTAGCAACTCTTGTTTATTTCATGCTACTCTCTCTGGCTCACGCCTCTCCAAGTACTCCAGGCTTCTTGCTCTTCCTCAGTCATGCCTTCCTGCCTTTCAGTGTTTGTACCTGCTGCTTTCTAATCCTGGGGTGTGATTTCCCCTAGAGCAGTGCACTGCCCAAAGGAAATACAATGTGAACCTCATGGGTAATTTAAATTTTTCTAACAGCCTCCTACCGCCACATACACAAATTTTAAGGGAACAAGTGAAATTAATTTTTTATAATTGATTTTACTTAATCTAGCTAATATATCATTTAAAAAATTTAAAATGTAAGCAATTTAAAAATTGATTTAACCATGTAGTCAATTTAAAAATTATTAATGAACTATGTTACATTCTCTTTTTTTTTCTGGGATCAAACCATTTTATTTACCCAACGTCCTTCTTCTGGCCGGGATCTCTCCAGCTTCACAGTCACTGAAAAGCTGTTATATTCTTTTTATGCATACTGGATTTCATAAGACTTAGTATAATACCATGCTAAGGACTTACTTAGTATGTCCTTAGCATGGTTAGTTAACACACCTACCCTCCAAAGATACTTAAACTAAGCTACTAAATCTTAATCCAGCGTGTATTTTATACTCACAGCACGTCTCAATTCAGACACTAAATGTTATCAGAAATACTTGATCTGCATGTAGGTTTCATGAAGTATATAGTTGAAAAGGTAGATTTGCATCCCCAAGTTGTTCCAAATGAAAGTTTTCCGATAATTGCATTGAGTATTCATTTTTAGATTCAAATGAATTGAAATTATATTCAATTGAATACAAATGGAAATTAATTTAATTGAAACTAATCAAAATTAAATACAATTATGTGTATACAATGGAATATTACTCAGCCATAAAAACGAATGAAATAATGCCATTTGCAGCAACATGGATGGATCTAGAGATTATCATACTAAGTGAAGTAAGTCAGAAAGAGAAAGACAAGTATCATATGATATCACTTATATATGGAATCTAAATTACGACACAAATGAACACATCTATGAAACAAAAACAGACTCGAAGACACAGAGAACAGACTTGTGGTTGCCAAGTGGGAGGGGGTGGGGGAGGGAAGGATTGGGAGTTTGGGATTAGCAGGTGCAAACTGTTATATAAAGGATGGATAAACATGGTCCTACTGTATAGCACGGGGAACAATATTCAATATTCTGTGATAAACCATAATGGAAAAGAATAGGAAAAGGAATGTCTATATATGTATAACTGAATCGTTGTGCTGTACAGCAGAAATTAACACAACATTGTAAATCAACTATACTTCAATAAAATTTTTAAAAATTAAATACAATTAAAAATTCAGTTCCTCAGTCACACAAGCCACATTTCAGGCCAGCGGCTACCACTGTGGACAGAGCATTTTCATGATCACAGGAAGTTCTATTGGACGATGCAGCTCTAGATCTTTACATGAAGCTGAGACAGAAAACCACACAGCTAGTAGGCAGAGATCTTCCTGGGATTTGGACCCATGTTTGCCTGACTCCAGGGTGTCCCCTTCCCAACACTATACTCTTCTTTATTTTTGCCTCACATAGTTGAAAGCTCTCTGAGAGAGAAGAGCATTTTATCAAGGAATCTGAGTGAATTTCAGCAAGCCCCTTACCCTCCCTGGATCTCATCTTTTTAAAGCATCCCTACCACAAGTAGTTTCAACCAGACGATGTCTTGCAGCTTCTTTCTGGGATCTCAAATTCTTGGATTCCCTCTTCCTATCACAGGCATGAGGATTAGAGGTTCTAGCATGTGTTTTGTAGATTGCAGGATCTTGGATAAGGTACGCAATTTCCATGAGCCTCAGTTTCCTCATATGTAGTATTGGGATACATGACTACTTACTCCTAATGTTACTTGTGAGGACAAAATTAGATGAAATAGGTAGAGGACCTTGTCCATTGCAGGTGCTTGAAATATGTTATTCTCCTTCCCTGTAAATCCCACCATAGTTAGAAAAAATAACTGGTTTTGGTGGGTTCTGTCCATGGTTAATGGCTAATCATAGACCTCTTGGGTCTCCCTCAACCACCTCCAACATTATGAAACTTACTTCCTTGAAAGCATCTCGCATCTCCTGGACACCAATCATCCCAGCTGTTTCTGCAAGCAATTTGGGGGCCATCAGCTCCACAAAATCGTCAAAATCTACACGGCCACCCACTGAGGACAGAAGAGGCAGGTCTAGTGAGATTCCATATGCCCCCAACCCTCCATTACCTCACTTTGCCCTTCAACTCTGTTCAAGAAATAGATCTGCTCCAATCTCTCTGCCTTCTAAGAGCTTCCTTTCTTAGCCAACTCATGCCCTCTTGTCCCTCTCATCTAAACAGGAGTGGATGGGGTGCCGTATGGTGGAAGTAACTAACTGTTGGTGTGACCTTGAGAAAATCTCTTAATTGGTTCAGATCTAGATTCCCTCATCTGCAGATCTGGAGAAGGGAGAGTATGAATTAAATAAGCACTAAATCCCTTCCAGATATGAATACTATCACCTCCTTGAATTTAGCATTGTTTACTCAGTAACATGCCCAGAAGCAAATCCTGTAGCAATTTTATCCCAGCTTCGGTGACAAAATCAGCTTGTCTCCATCTAAAAACCCATCTTTTTTGTAACATTATTCACCAACATTAGGCTCCAACTCCAAGTTTGTTTCCAGCATCAAATACAGCTCCAATGTTGCCCTCCACTGACGAATCTTAGTGATGATAGTAATAACTTACATTTAATAAGCATTTACTAGAAGCTAAGCCTTTACCTGTATTAACATCTTTATCCCTTCCTTTCTACAATCCCACAAGGTAAGGAGTGATATCATCTTCACTGAGTGGATGGGGAAACTGAGACTCAAGAGTGGGGGCTAACTCCACTTCTTATATGACTACAATTAGTAAATAACAGAACTGGGACTTGAACCCAAATCTATCCCTAAAAGTCACGCTTTTAACCACTTCAAATGTTGCCTCCCTAAGTAGAGTCTGAACTGTTTCCTTCCAGACTTCTAGCCCCTCTTCCCTCCTCCCTATCTCCAACTCTACTCTCAACCTCCATATATCCTTCCCAATTCCACCCTTAGCCCTCCCCTAAGCCCAGTCATTCCTCCCACCCCCTGGCCTCACAGTTCATGCGGATTTGCTGGCCCAGTTCAATCAGTTCCATCTCCGTGGGCATGTAACCCATTGTCCTCATGAGATTCCCCAAATCCTTACAAGAGATGAACCCATCTCGGTCCTTGTCAAACTCAAGAAATGCTTCCCGGAGCTCTGAAAGTTAAGAGAGAAGAACTTTGGGGAAGTTGAAACAGTCACTGGGGAAGAGTAGCATCGCTTGAAACTATCAGTGAGGCACTGACTAAAGACTCCTCAAAAAAGAATACATTATAAAATTTTTTAAAAGGAGTGATGTGTGAAATGTGTTAGCAAAAAGAATAGTTCCTGAGACCACTAAACGACAGCACTGAAGTCCTTCACATTTTTGGGTGAAGTTATGGGAAACTTTGAAACTACCAAGAGAAAAAAACAACAAGTTTGGACTCATCCTAAAACTCAGGCATCATTTGTGGGTCCCTGAGACACTTGGGCATGGGGATGGTTTCTAAACACTTGGGGAAGTACTTAAACTGCCACAAAATCACAGTTGAGTGGGAAGAGAGTGTGATGTAAAATTTTCATGTCAAGGGGTTTATATTGAAATGCACAAAGGAACAGAGAGCAGGTAAGTGGGTGGATGGCAAAGTGGGGGCATTTAGGGGAGAGAGCTTTACCTTCAATCTCATCTGGTCCCAGTGGTCTTTCCTAGAAAGGAATGCAGGGGGCAGGGGATTTGGAGAGAGGATCAGGGATCCACATTCACTTCTTGAAACACATCTCATCCTCATCCTTTCCTGTTTCTCTTCCCTTCTTGCTCCCGTCTACCCCTCTCACCTTCTTTCTCCCAGCTCCTGACTCCCATTCCATGGCTATGTTTTCCTCTTGTTTTTCCTCACCCCTTCTCATTTCCTCTCTCCCATCCTTGAATCTCGGTCTCTCTCCTCCTGCCTTTCCCAAATAGACATCCATCCTGCTGTGCTGAAATGGGTCCTGGAGGCCACGGAATCCAATCCCCTTCTTCTCCAGATGAAGAAAGCCAGACTTAGAATCACAGCTCACATATTTAGTTTGCTGACTGTGCCAGGCTTCCACAATCATTTCATTTAAACTTCTTTGAGGTAGAGCCAAATATCATTCCCATCTTATTTAAGAGGGAGTCGAGGGACAGAGAGGTTAAGGAACCTGCCTGAGGTCACACAGCTCATAAGTGGCAGATCCCCTCCGAAAGCGGGGAGACGTTAAATCATTCCTTTGAGGTCATGCAGAAATTCAGGTGCGTTGAGAGCTGGGATTTGAATGCAGGTCTACTGGCTGCCAGGTCAGAATTCTTTCTACTATACCCCACTGACTGTTTTTCCACCTGCCTCCATGGTTAGAAGCCCTTGGCTGTGGGAGCTGTGTTCAGTGGCACCCAGACAGGATGATCACTGCCAGCATGACCAATTCCTAAAACCTTTCATGTTGCCACCACCCACTCCTGGACATAACTGAAGGGTCAGCCTTGGGTACATGGCACATCACCTGGAAAATTCCATCAACCCCTGGCCTCTGTCACCCCCTTTTCTCCCTTTATCCTTGGAGATTTTCCCCCAGCTTCTCTTTCTTACTATCCCCTTCTCCCCAAATCTCTCTTAATCTTTCTCTCTCTCTCATGATCTTAAAAACTAACAATTAAAATCATGCCCGTTGGGGCTTCCCTGGTGGCGCAGTGGTTGAGACTCTGCCTGCCGATGCAGGGGACACGGCTTCGTGCCCCGGTCTGGGAAGATCCCACATGCCGCGGAGCGGCTGGGCCCGTGAGCCATGGCCTCTGAGCCTGCGCGTCCGGAGCCTGTGCTCCGCAACGGGAGAGGCCACAACAGTGAGAGCCCCGCGTACCACCACAACAACAACAACAAAAAAAATCATGCCCGTTGGAATCCAACAGACATGACTCTGCCACTTACTAATTGTATAAGCTTAAAGCAAGGGGCTTCATGACTCAGAGCCTTAGTATCCAGTCTGTAAAATAGGGATGAAAGTATTATGAACCTCATGAGTCATTCTGAGGATTAAGTGACATCAGGAATGCAAAGCCCTTTGCACAAGTCTGAGCTCACAGCGATGACTTAATAAGTGGCATCTGGGCTTCCCTGGTAGAGCAGTGGTTGAGAATCTGCCTGCTAATGCAGGGGACACGGGTTCGAGCCCTGGTCTGGGAGGATTCCACATGCCGCGGAGCAACTAGCTCCGTGAGCCACAACTACTGAGCCTGTGCGTCTGGAGCCTGTGCTCCGCAACAAGAGAGGCCGCCATAGTGAGAGGCCCGCGCACCGCGATGAAGAGTGGCCCCCGCTTGCCACAACTAGAGAAAGCCCTCGCACAGAAATGAAGACCCAACACAGCCAAAAATAAATTAATTAATTAAAACTCCTACCCCCAACATCTTCTTTAAAAAAAAAAAAAAGTGGCATCTATTGTTATCAGCACCTCCAGCACCATCACCACCTTCATCACTATGGGTGTCAAAGAAAAGAATGATAATGATCATCAACAATGACATCATCCTAGTTCCCCTTTCCTTTTTCTTTTTCTTCTCCTTCATCTTCCACCTTTTGGTCCTGACTTCTGATTTCATACTCACCCATCTTACTGACCCACGTGTCCCCATGATGCTCCCTGGAATTCTTCTACCTTCTCAGTTCATGCTCTCCCCACCTGCTCCCCTATTGTCCCTTCTCTTCCCCGCATCCCAGCTCCCTTTGCCCTGCCCACCATCCTCCTTCATTGTCCCCAGACTCACCCGCTGTTTCTCAGCGATGCCTTTTCTTAAGAAGATGCAGGCGGGGCCCATGGGAAACTGCATGGAGGGGGCAGGGCAGAGCTCACCAGGCGCCAATCTCAAGACAGCTCCCCCGCTTCCTGTCCCCCGTGGCGGCTCAGCCTCCTTTCCTTCTCTACCACTCCTTTGCCAACTCTTCCTGCCTCTCTTGGCCTCTCCCTCGGTCACCCTGGCTCCCTTAGAGCTGTGTGACAGCTGGGTCAGAAATCTCTACTCGGGTTGGGGAGGGATCCCAGTTGTTCCTGCCTCCCCATCTGGCTTGAGAATGGAGGCGGAGCCAGTGTCAGGCTCTGACCTTTTATCCCCAGAATAGAACTGGAAGGATAGTTTTGAAAATGAGGATTAGAGCAGAGGGCATCGATTCACACAATGTTTCAACAGGCACGTTGAGTGATCAGTCTAAGCCTGGCCTCTGCTGGCCTTTGTGTGTGTGAAGATGGAGAGGACATCTGGCCTCCAGGAGCTCTAGGGTAAGCCAGGAATGTGTGTAAACGAGCAGAATGCAAAAATTGCGTGACGACCTGACTTCAGGAATAGACATGCACAGTGGCTCAGAGGGGGATGTTTGCCCTTCCTCTAGCTCCTCTCTTCCCTTCCTTTCTTCCTGCATAGTTCAGGGGGGAGGGGCAAGGTAGCCATCCATGCTGGTGGGGGTGGTCAGAGCCCAAGGAGGCGATAAGGGTGCCTGCACGGAATGGGGAGGGGACTGGGGGCCATCTGTGTGGGGAACGAGACCTTAAATAGGAGAGTGGAGCAAGGGGGAGTCGCCACAATTCTTTCCACTATAACCCCTCAGGCAGGGGGGTGGGGGGGTGGAGAGAGGTGGCGTGCAGCCCTGCCCAGAGCATCAGGGCCTCCTCCGAGGAACCCACGGAGGAGCAGCCTGGTGTGGAATCCTGGAGCATGAGCTGGGTGATGAGGATTTCTACACGCAAGTCTCACATCACCTAGGGGAAGGGTTTGCACCAGGAGCAGAGTGAAGGCAGCACGGTGTAGGGTGTTGAAGCCAGATCGTGGCGAGAAAGGCATCCCCACAGGGGTGGCATGGCAATGGAGAAGGGAGATGGGTTACGTGTGGGATTGTATTGAGGCTAATGGGAATCAGGTTGCTCGCTGTTGGAAAAGGGAGTTCCAATTACTGTATAGAAAGGGGAAAAGGTAGAGTGAGCTCTGTGGTGCTGGATTGGAATGGGAGCGGGGATTGGTATATACTCATGGATTTCAACTTACAGAGAGGGATATACAAAGAAACACAGACGTCACTGTGTGTGTAGGGACACGGGAACGTATATTCTCTAGCTAAGGGGACACAGAAGCGACACCGTAGCATTAATGAACACCTCTACCATCCAGATCCTGACTTCTAAATACCATTCTCCACTAAATAGGAACCAAGTCTCCCAGAAGCAATGGCTGATTTCATGTCTGGAGCAGGACAAGTGTTAATATTAGAAGATGAGCCTAAAATTTACATCTTGTTGTGTCATAAAGCAAGAATGTGCTCAAAGAGTTATGACGGCATGTCAAAAGAACACAGAGGTCAGCTTGAAGAAGTTCCACTGGCCATTTGAAAATTAAAACAAATTATATAGGATAAATAGGAAACCAGGAGTCCATACAAATATAGATAAATGGAAAGTTTGATATTTACATAACTCAAAGTACCTCCTCACAAAATACTAATCTCAAAGGAGAGTCCCTTTATAGTGGGGAAACTTGGCGGACACTTTCTTTTCCTTTTTTTTAAAAAAAATATTTATTTATTTATTTGGCTGTGCCGGGTCCCAGTTGCGGCACTCGGGATCCTCGCTGCCGCATGCAGGATCCAGTTCCCTGACCAGGGATCGAACCGGGGCCCCCTGCATTGGGAGTGTGGAGTCTTAACCACTGGACCACCAGGGAAGTCCCTGGCAGACACTTTTTTTTTTTTAACATCTTTATTGGCGTATAATTGCTTTACAATGGTGTGTTCGTTTCTACTTTATAACAAAGTGAATCAATTATACATATACATATGTTCCCATATCTACACTTTCTTAAATGATTAAAATGAACGTCATCAGTAACATAACCAAGATGACACATTCCAATTCATACGCAATTATGAATTTTCGCTCCTGCAAACCTCCCTGGCTCCCCTCCTGCAGACTCTTCCCAGAGCCCAGCTCCAAGAATCATCTCCCCTTGATTGGTTCCAACAATTTTTGGGAGCAACAGGATTTCACCAGGGGGAATATGGTCTCTGCCGCTCCCCTCAGCTCCAGGCTCATCTCTTCAGGGTCTGCGAAATCCTGCCATCGGCATGATCTTTTCACCCCTAGACCGTACTGTGTCGCTTCTCTGACTGCAGGATAAGGTCACACCCTCCCAGGGGCACACAGGCTGGGCTTGCCACGAGGCACTTTATTTAGTTGGGGGCTGAGTGCAGGGTCTCTTGCAGACTGCCCAGACCAAACCCTGGCCCCCCATTCCCTAGATGGTAGACCTGGGGAAAGTAACTTACATCCCTGTGCCTGTGTCCTCATCTGCTTAATGGGGACAATAAAAGCACCTACCTAACGGGGTTGTCAGGAGCGTCATTGATGAGTGAGGACATCCCTGCCCAGCCCTGGTAGAGGGACATGGCAGCCCTCGCTGGTTGAGTGTGTTCACAGGGGCCCCACAGGCAGGGGCATGGGGAGGAAGGGCATGTCCCTGGCCCCTCTTTCTTCAGGAAGACCCCGGTCCATGCCTAAGGGAACCGTGGGGATCCATGCAGAGCCGGACTGTCACTCACTGGAATCCCCAGACATAGAGTACTTAACACCTAATCAAACATTTTGCCTTAAATGTTTTATTTGAACTTGATAAATACGGATGCACGTTAATTGCCAGTCCTTTAAGGAAGAGATCTTTCAACTATGAGAAACAAACCTGTTGATCACAACAGGATTTTGCTATTTTTTTCTCCCACCTCCACCCCACCCCCAGGACAAGAAGCTCAGTTAGGCAGCTGCTGCCCTTGGTTCATTGGTTAAGGGTTGTCAGGGCGGCTTTCTCTTGTGACTCTCCTGGTTCGTTCCTCACGACCACAAGGTGGCAGCCCCAGCACCAACCGTCACACCCACAGTCAGGGCAGGAAGAAAGGAAGGGCTGCCACAACCAGGTCTCCTTTTTGATCAGGAAAAGTAGCACTGACTGTACTCCGGGCACTGTGCTATGGGCTGGGGGATGTAAGGATGGGGAAAACAGATAGGTCCACTGCCTGCCCTCACAGGTCCGGTCTGGAAAGCTGTGCTGAGGATTCAGAGGCCAGGCGTGGTCACTAGATGGCGGGTGGCAGAGCTGGGAGTCTCACACACAAGTCACCGCACTTAACAGTCTCCCAACAGGATGGGGACCGTCCTGGAAAGGTGTGGGGCCTGAAGCCAGACTGCTGAGTCAGAAGCCTGGTGTGGTCCTCCCAGCAGCAGCCCTGGGCAAGCTACTTCCCCTCTCTGTGCTTCCTCATCTGTGAAACAGGCTCTCGACGTGCCTACCTGGTAGGCTTGCTGGGAGGTTAAAGGAATTAATATAGAGAGTTTGGACGGCCACTGTCCAGCAAAACAGCCATTCGGCACATGTGGCTATTTAAACGGAAATTAAACATTGAGTCCTCAGTCGTACTGACCCCATTTCACGTGCTCACCGGCCACACGTGGCTGGTGACTGTCACACCGCCCAGCGCAGACGTGGCACATTTCCATCACTGCAGACAGTTCTACTGCAAGGCCCCGGTTCCGACAGTTGTGGCACACTGTTACATGCTATCAAAGGGTGAGCTGTTATGGCTGTACCCCCAGAGCCCAGCACGGACACAGAGCAGGTGTTCAACAATTATTTATTGAAAAGAATGACAGAGCCCCAGACCCCAGCTGAAACCATCCCCTCCCCCACACACACCTGACTATCAAAACCCGCACCCGGCGACATCAGATTGCTGAGCACCTGAGGCGACGCCCCTGGGCCCCCTCTGCCCCCAGCCCCCCGGGAGAGCAGGGGGCCTAGTAGAAATCTTCCAGGTCGGAGTCTGGCTCTCCGCCTTGCTGGTTCTGAATCTGACTTTGCTTCCGGTACAGACAGGCCACCTGAAGAGAGAGGGTGGGTGGTGGGAGGGTCAGAAGCCCTGGGGCTGCCCCACCCCCTTCCATGCCAAGCCAGGCCAGAGCCCACCTTCTCCAAAAAGCAGGCCTGGCCGGGCAAGCCCACCCCTGGGCCAACCACCCACCCTCTACCGCGGGCCTCACCTGGGCACTGGTGGTGGCCTCCTCCGGCTTCTTGTCCTCACGGACGCAGATGAACCGAGGGAAGCGGAGGGAGATTCCCTTCTCGCTATCCACCTGTGGAGGCGAGGCGCGGGGGTGGGGATGGGGGTGGTGGAGTGGTGACAGGGACCAAGCAGCAGTCCAGCCTGCTCCCCAGGCAGCAATTCCCCATCCAAAGTCTCCTCCCCACTCCTGCGCCTCTGGCCTGTTTCCTGATCCATACAATGGGGCTAAGTGATGGGTCGTTGTAAAAATTAAATCCGGTCATTTAGCGCTTGGGGCCGCTCCCCGGAGCAGGAGCGTGTAAGAAACACAGGCAGCTGTGGCTGTGCTTTATGCTGTTGTTATTATTATTAGGGCCAAGAGGGGTGGATTCTAGAACCAGACTGTGAGGTTCAAATCCCAGCTCCCGTCTCGAGAGCCTCGTGACCCTGGGCCAGTTACGCTCCCTGGGGCTCTATTTTCCCATCTGTAAAATGGGATGGTCAGTGTCTTGGTGAGGATGAGTGTGAACAAGTGACATGCCTGCTTCACCTAAATGCTCGATAAATGCTGTTCCTATCTCTTTATTACCAGGGTCCCCTGACTTCCCGAGACGGTGCAGGAGTGAGAAATTTCAAGAAGGAAACTAGATAAAAGGTATGAGCTTTGCCTTTACATGGAAGTCAGCTGCTAATCAGAAAAGCACATGCTAGCTTTTGAAGGATCAGAAAAAATCCCAAAGGGAGTATGCACTTTAAGATTTCCTGTTCCTCGGTCAACTATATTTTAATTAAAAACAAAAAACAAAAAACCTCCAAATTGATGTTTCTAAGAATCCATAAAGAGAAAACAATATAATTTGCATTGTAACAATGTTATTAAGATTTGGGATCTCTGTGGATTTTAGGGTTGAACAC